AGCTAAGAACTTTGCAAATTCTCACGTGAAAACATCTTGAAAATCAGAGTTCATTAACATAACAATCTATTTCTAGGGTGAAAAGCAAATGCACCTGTATAAACAATAAGATCTGTCCCATGAGAATCAGTGAAGAAAATATGTAAGTAATTCAAGAATAGGGAGATTTGATGGACAAGTTAGTAAAATACCTTTTACTAACCAATAGAGTAATTTGCAAGAAAGCCTTGAACCAATTAAAGTTCCATGTGACATTTGTAAAAACTGTACAAAACGAGTTGTGTGAAAAAAGAATTGCCTTTCCCTGCATGAAGAAAATGAAGTCTCAGCTGATTTATTACAACATAGGTGGAGCTGAAGAAAATGTGCCCAACAGCAATGGGAAACTGAAAATCTTCACAGAAGTGCTTCATTTCCCAAATGAAGAAATGGGGTGCCTGGCCTGCTGTAGAACAGATGGCCAAGAGATCCTTGCTGTTTTTAACAGCTCTCTGAGAGTCTTGGCCAGTCTTTGTGGTACTCTTAATTGTAACTCAGTTTCCACAAAGGTGAATGACCTTTGCAGCAGTTAAGCATCTCAAACTTTCGTGCTCCTTTTAAGGAGCTGGTGAGAGTTTCTGTGCTTGTGGGCTGTGCATTCCTTGGGGTTCATACAGCATGGCCTTGCATGTGTGCAGAGGACATCCAAATACTCAGCCCAGCTCCTGCCTTCACACAGCACATCTCCTGCAAGCTTCCAGGGCTGGGCATTGCTGGCTGGGAGCAGTGAGGTTTTCTGCCCATTCTTCCCTCTCTATCTCAGCTGGCAGGCCTGGCCAGAGGCAAGGAGAGAAGGGTTCTAAAGGGCTGACTAAAGTTCTAGAGGCTGGCCAGCTAAAGGGCTGGCAGCTTTCTGAGATGTGGGATGCTACCTTCTTCCTGATCACTGTGAATCCAGCCAGAGCTCATCTTCTTGCCATGGTAGTACTCTCCTGACTTTATTACAGGGAATAATCAATGGCTGAACATGATGATAATGGGTTAATCAGATGAGAAATGATTCACACATTTCTTCATTTGGGAAATGAAGCACTTCTGTGTAGACTTTTTGTTTCCCAGACTCTCTTTCACATGACTCAGAAAAGTATAATATTGGCATCATAGCATTAATTTTGCATTGCTTTGTTCTATATTTATATATTTAGGGTTTTAGGTACTAATTTCTTCCTCAACAGCTTTTAAGCATTTTCTAAGTGTAGTAAAAATGTTACTCTTCGTAGTGTGACAAATGCAAAAGAAGCATCTTCAGATTTCAAGCTCTATTTGGGGTCTCTCTGTGATGTATCACATCCAGAAATAATGAGAAACTCTGCATCAGAGATGCTGGAAAAAGAACAGAAGAAATGAGAGAAAACCATAGCAGAGAGCAGCCAAATGACTCATTGGGAGAGCCCCAGCTTGGTTCTTCTGTTCATTTGCAGGCAGAGGAAGGAGAATTGTCTGCTGAGTCCAAGGCAAGGCTGTCTCATCTGGGCACCTTTCAAACCACCTCCAGACGTCTTCTCTAAATTTCATTCCTTTTGATGAAATTACAATGTTTAGGGAATTGTCAGAGTGTTATGTAGAGATGTTATAAGTTTGAGTCTAACCTTTAGTGGGTTAGACTACCAGCCACCCTAAGTGGATGGAGGCTTTCTCCTAATTCCTAGTGGAGTTCTCAAAGCTGCCTTCAAAAGTGGTGTGGGGGTACTTTCTTGAGCTGATTGGACAGAGGAGGCAGTGGGACTCATCTGGAAATGATGTGTCTGGATGGGGCTTTTGAGAAACCTGGTCTAGCAGGAGGTGTCCCTGCCCACGTCAGGGGCTGGAACAAGATAAGCTTTAAGGTCCCTTTCAACCCAAACCATCCTGGGATTCTGTGACCTTCCTCTCAGACTAGAAGTGGTGGCAGGACGGCACGTGAAACTTCCATCAGCTGAAATTATTAAAGGACTCAGCTCTGCATGGACACAGCATGAACCATTTACAGTTGAAAATGTTTTGAGGTTAGTAATGTAGGAGGATTTCTTTTTTTCAAATGGTGCAATTCATTGGGGAATCTATCTATAATCTATCTAAGGAAGATCCAAGCTGCATGTGGATTATTAAAGAGTTTTGTTCAGGTATATCTAATCTATATTCTAACTGAATACTTTGACTGTAACTTCCATAGTCTGAGTAATGTGACTCACTCTTCTTGGCCTGGTTTCCTAAGAATGTGAGGCTCTGGTATTTGCCTTCCTTGTCCATATTTCTGTATTCTCTCAGTGATATCTTTTACTCTTTTTCTATTTTTTTTCTCTAAATCCAGCCCAAAAAAAAAAAAAAAATAGAAAGGAGGAGGAAAATTTGTAGGAAGATGATTGTCTTCTTTATAGGTTTTGTGACAATTGCAGCTGGGATGAGTCCCAAATCAAGCCGTCTTGAAGTAAAATACCTATCATATTTAAACCATTAAAAGCTTGTCAGACCATATTTCTGTTATTACAGAAAAAGTCCATTTCCCCCTTGCTGACACCACCTGTCCCAAATCTGGGGTATAGGGAGTAATTGCTAATATAATTCTCCTGGGGTTTACAAGATAGTAGTAATTCCACACTTGAATGCATAGACTGTTCAGTGGAAGGCTCAGTGATTACTGGAATAAGTCAATGAGATTACTGCTGCTGAAAACCAGGCAACTGGCACTGTGAATATAATAAAAGAGGATAGTCAATGATGATTGTTCTGTTTTAAAAAGGGTCTGTGTGCACCCAAACCCCAGATTGATGTGTACTGTTTGGGATCCCTACATTAGACTGTCTTCTCCATATGCTTGTAAAGCCTGGGGTCTGTTCCTGCTGGAACAGGATATTTCCCAGCCTTGGAGGGGTATAAACACCTTGGATTTATCCCCTGTGATGGTGAACCACCAGGGGTTCCCAAAAGCTTCCACTGGCAACTTCCCCCTGGTATAGCAAGGGTATCCCTGGATGTAGGATATACTTTCATTCAAAGTTTGTATTTTGTGGTGATTTTCTTGGAGCATCTTAAAGTTTATTTCTGGAGGCGTCTCTATTTTTTCAGCCACTCCTAAAAATCTAATCAATCCATTGCTGTTCACTACTGGGAGTGTCAGGATGGAGGTGGAACACCTCATTTCCAGAGAAAACCATTCCAAATACCTTCTGGGAATAGGGGAAACCCCTGCAATTAAGGGCTGCTTTGTGTGTCCCCTGTGAGGAAGCTATTTGGCACCACTGTGGTCTCCTCCTCACCACTTAGGGGTATCCTTAAAGAGGGGGATCTATAATAAAACTTGACAAAATGGTGGAAATATGATCTACTCCTCAGTGTGATTAAGGCCAGCAGTCATTATGTGGAACATTTGCTCTTGCCTTGTATGCAGCTCTACACTACAGTGTAACTATTTATGGGCCTGGCTCCAAAGGGATTTATGGCAAGCAAAATACTCCCAGTGGATTCGATTACCGCCTGCGAACGCTGCAAATGCTGCAGCAAATTGCAACTGCTGCAAAATGAGCTTTCCACAAGGGCTGCCTGACACGTGTCCTGCTAGCAAGAAATTCCCCAGCCATGAGGAGATGGAGTTAAATGGCTCCTCACAGTCCTGCTCTTTTTTCCCTTCTTAAGGCTTATGAGTTGGTTTTACTGCTGCCTCTGTGCCATTTCTGTCTTCCTTGACACAGAGCAAGCAGAGCAGTGTACTGTCATACTCAGTCTTCAAGGCTGGCCAGTCATCAGAGGATCTATTGTACTTTTTTGGCCACATTTGTCATCTTTCTCCCTCTGGGGAAAATGTAGGCATTGCAGAGCATCTGAGGGTGAAGGGTGGCTGCAAGTTGTTCTGTCCAGAAATGAGGGTGGCAAAACCAAATGGCTCTTGTGCCTCTGAAGTTGAGGGATACATGAAAAATAACTTTATTCTCTCGTTTCCTTTTTGCTGGTACTCTTAGCATCCAGGATGTCCAAATATTGGGATTGGGGTTATTCTTGGGAGGTGCTGGACTTCTTCCCTGTGAGCTGAAGGAGGGTTCAGGTTTCCTTGTGTTAAGGAAGGAAGGGTTCAGTTTCCTTGTGTTTCCTTGGTTTTTACTTCTGCCTCACGCTGCATTTTGCCTTCCCCTTGCTGTGTGGCTGTAAACTGTGTTTGTGAAATGATCCAAAGTAAAAGCTACCACCCTTGTTCCCCGAAAGGGGCAGCATGGAGGCAGAAACAAGTGGGTGACAGAGGTAGGGAGAGAGGCAAAGCAGAAGTGTCTGCAGCAGAAGGAAGTGGCAGGGACCGCCGTGCTAAGGGTGACAGCTGCCTTGGGGAACACGTGGGAATACAAAGCTTTGTGGGTAAGGCAACAGCAGACTGTCTTGAATCGGCAGCTATATTGAGAATTGTTTTGTTCTGCTTTTCCCCAACAGCTTTTGAGGAAGGGAGTTTGATGCTGACACAGGAATAATCTTGCAGGATTCAAAGATATGCCAGTTCTCTCTGGGTCTCAGAGCTGCCACGCATTGCTGCCCAGGAGACAGAGATTTTCGTGCTCATCCTCTGCTTTGAAAGGTTATTTGTGCCAGTGGGGTGGCAGGAGGCTGAAGGGCAGTGCTCATCCCCAGACTCCAGATGCCATGTTTGCAGTAGTGCCAGCAGCCTTTATGGGCTTGCAGAGCATTACCCAAGCCATGCAGCATCACTTCTGCACGAGCAACATCCCTGATCCTTCCTCCAGAGCTGGGAAGGAGCCCTCTGAAGCCCAGCTGTATGTTGTGATATATTGTAATCTTTGGCAAAGACAGGGAGTATAGGAGGAATGCAAATACATTTGTCCTAAAGGGAGAGTGCTGAGTGCTGGTGTATCTGTTTCCAGTTCATGTTAAGGGGACGTTTGACGAGTGGCATCCTCAGTCTTGGAAGAGTTTGCTTGTTCTTTCAAAAAACCACAAACAAACAAACCCTCTCCCCCCCGCCCCGGCCTCCCGCCCCCCAACCCAAACAAATACAAAAAGAAAAATGAAGCAACAAAAATCTACCTGTCAGATATTGCTGGGAACCAACCAAGACTTGCTTTTAAGGTCAGGCACAAACAAGCTTATTAGCTAAGTCTGATATTTGACCAACTGTTCGAAGTTAAATAATTCCCCTGACTCCTGTTGCAGAGGAGCTGCATCCTAAACTGCCCTCAATCACTTGCAGCTCCAGAACTGGCCCACATAAAGGTAAAAAATACCTTTTGCCAAGGTTATTAAACTATGCTGGGTAAGTTGAGAGGCACAGCTATGGAGATGCTGCAGTATCCATTCACACCAGCTGTGATGCTGAATTTGGGGGTGTAAGTCTATATTGGCCTGGGCTTATCTGGTTCCTACTGCATGAAGAGTACGTTTGCATGGTAACACTGCACCCCAGCTGACACAGAGATCCCACAGAAAACCTGAAACAAAGCATGGCCTGAGACCCTCCCACACTCTTTAAGGCCCATTTCCTTGCCTTGTGCTTCTCTGTCCTCATGCACTGCTGGAGTAGGGGGATTGCCTGGAAATTCCCAAGGCAAGCAGCAGGTGAGGGAGACCAAGGCTGCTCTGGCCCTGCTGGGCAGAGATAGCACTGCAAGCCCATCTGCAGGAGCCGTTTCAGCTCTACCTAAACTGGGTTTTCCCCTTGACAAATACCCCAGTGGTGAGCCTTGGTGCCCTTATACATGTACCCAGTTGGATTTTCTTGATGCTCTTGCCCTTCTGGGATGTCCCCTATCCCTATGGCATTCTAAGGGAAGGTATGTTTGGTGCAGCAGACTTCAAAGAGTGAAGGGCAACAACTGTGGAAAAGGGAGTATTTGGCTCTCTATTCCCTGCAGGTTGGGAGTGGTTGGTGGCAGGGCTTGTGTAATACCTGCAAAGCTGATGTGGGGAGATTGTCACTCAGTTTGTGAAGTGTTTTCTTGATTGCTTGATTACCTGAGCATGAGCTGTCCTCCCCCATGGGGAGCTTGAATGGCTTCAGGTAGGACTGGGAAAGATTTCCTTTTTTTATTCTGTCCCTCAGGGGTGTATATGACTGAGGCCATGCATGGTTCTCACACATGTCATCCCACACAGCGCACAAATACAACCTCTAGTGTGGGCTTTTTTGGTTTGAGTGCCTTTCTCAGGAGCTGAACCCGAGCTGTCCCGAGGCAGGACTGAGCAGCTGAGGAGTGCGGGTATGTGTTTGAAAGGACAGGGCGGCTGCTGCTGCATTGCCACCTGCTGGGGACACCAACGCCCTTCTGCGAGGGTCCCCAAACCCTGCCCTGCGGGGTGAGCCTGGCTGGCCTCCAGCCTTTTACCTCAGGGGCTTATTTTGAGCTGATCTGCTGCCTCTTGCTTTGTTGGAGTTTGTCTTCAGGCACTAATAACGTGCAAGTTATAACTCCGGGGTTTGAATTTCCTGGTTTTGGTACTGGCCTTCAGGTTTCTTTCACAGATACATCCAAAGGGACACTTTGGCCAAAGGACTTGCAGACATTCTGGGCAGGAACAGGTGAGAAATCTGCATTGTTCTTCTCAATGTAAAAAAAAAAAAAAAGTAATTAAAACAAAACCCCCAAAACTCCTGCCACAAATTATCTGTATGTGCTGGGAACTGGCCTGGAGCAGGACTTGTGCATTTGCTGGGACCCAGCCACTTTCCCTTGGGTGTTGCCATCAAATAACCCCACTCAGATTTGGCCAAGTTATTACACTGAGGTGCAAAAACATGGACAAAATAAGACAGGGGAAGTCAGAAAGATGAGACAGTGATGCAGTGAGATCTGGCTGGGTAACTTGTGTAAGCCAGCAGGTTCAGGCAGGTTCAGGCCCCACTGGCCCCACTTCCCCCAGACCTGCTTTTGTGGGATGTGCCACTCTTATTCTCCACCTGTCTCAGCTCCAAGCCTGTCAGGTAGAAGCAGTCTGTTCTGGGGCAGGGGGATGAGTTTGTGGAGGCTGAGATCTCTTCTGCTGTGCTTTTTCCCTGTTAACTCTGGGAGAGCATCTGCCACACCACAAGCCAGCAGCCTACTCCAATGTGGTTTCAAAGGGAAACCAGTGTGCATCAAATCCCTGCAGTGGTAGTTCATAAATGGATTTATCAGCTCGGTGTGTCTGACTGAGAAGGCTACAGGGGCTGAGGACAGCTCATGGCAGGATTTTTTGGCAAAAAACTTTAAATAATGTTAGCCACTGATTTAGTGTGTGTGCTGACAGCCGTTATTGGGCATTTAAAAAGTAAATATGTGGGAAATGAGAAATGAAGTAATTTAGGCAGACACAGCACTATCTGTTGCTCTCTTGCACTATCTCTGTGTAATCTCTGTAAAAGACACATCTTTGACAGCTGAGGCTGCTGTCAGCTCCTGAGAGCTGATACCATGCTGGGCTCTCAGGGGACATGCACACATACAGATGGCATTTGGTTAACAGTCTTTGGGATGTTTTTCATCTTGCTGTTCACACTCGTATACACAGGAGGTGAACACAAACTGAGCTATATGATGAAGCATTCAAAATATGTTTTTTACTTGTTTCTTGGGAATATAGGTTATTTTATGGGTTTTTTTTTACTTTTGTTTTTAAACAGACCACCACCATGGACAAACACAACCAGCAACAAGTGTCAAGTATCTACACTTCTGATAAAGTCCTTCTCAGGGGCCTTGTTGAAACAGGACCAGTTGAATTTTCAAACCTTGTGTTGGTTTTGCTCCCTCTCCTTGGCACACAGGTGGGTGAAGTGAGCAGCACCACCAAGCCCCTGTACGAGAAAGGAAGGGTAACCAGAGAAACTGCACTATGCTGCTTTCTCCTCCTCATTGCTGGACTCCCCTCCTCAAGACCTTTACCACAAACATTAACAAAACCTATAGAAAACCAGGTTGTCTAGGACCTCAAGGAACTTAATATGTGCTTGTGCTGGAGGGCAGGATCACCTCTACCCATTGCACTGCTGACAGCTTGGTCTTAGCACCTTTGCTGCTGGACAGTCAGCCTCCCAGAGGTGTCCTGTTCCTCCTGTCACTGAGCAGGAGGTGCTTTTTTAGGAGGATCCACCTCTTCCTTTTGGTGGCCAGCACTGCACACAGGTGTATTTTAGTGCAAGCAACAGTAACCTGCAGGACTCTGTTCTCCAATGGATGGGAGGATGCAGCCTTGGATGGAGACACCAGTGCAAAAGGATGTACTGGGATGAAAGCACAGCCTGAAAGGGAAAGCCCAGGACTTGCCTTGATGGATTGGAGATGAGGGAAAAACGTGACATACCCTTAACACTCCAGGTGGGTGGAAGGCCACTGAGCCTCCAGGAGCTGCCAGCACAGCACAGCTGTTGTTTTTTATGTTGGTATCTTCAGATATGAATCCTGGTCACAAAGCAGGAGGTAGAAATAACCCAAAGTTTGGTTGTTTCAGCATTTTTATTAGACAGTGCTCCACTCAGCAGTTGTACACACGGCCCTGATTCTCCCCTAATCAGTGCACAAACCTTGGAACATTATGCTCTCAGGCCACTATGACCCAGACTGCACAAACCATGCCCTTTTACAGAAGTGGTGCCCAGGAAACACCCAGGCTCAGAGCAGTGTCCCTGCACTGCCATCACACCAGTCAAGCTGGGAGGGTAACTTCAAGTGCTGTTTCATTAGGCAAGTCCTCTCTGCTTCCCAGTCACCTCCCTGTGCTGCTTGGCTCCTGTGAATGACAGGGTATGCCTGCTGCTGTGTCCCCATGAGCCTGAGGCTTCTGACAGGGATGCCCACCCTCAAGGAGATGAGCTTTTCTGCAATTCAGGCTGTCTTCTGATGGACTTTCAGAAACCTATGAGGGCAGCAGGAGCATGGGCTTTGAGGAAACAAATGAGCCTTCCAGGGCTGGTTTCTGCTCCTTGCCTACCCAGGTGGTTCTCATGGAGCCCCCTGTGCCACTGGGGCTCAGCTGCCCTGTGTTCAGGCACGTGTGAGTGTAACCCTGCCAGCTTTGGTGGTCTTGCTTTGCCACTGCTGGTCCAGGAGAGTGGCTGTGCTGCCCTTCTATTTCTCCCCTGCCCTTCTGGGACTTGAGGCACTCAGAGCTCAGCCCTTGAAAGATCAAAATTCATGGCCACAGTGGTGCAGGCTGAGGAGCTGCTCTCAAACAGCACAGAGCTGTGTGGCTACATCTGTAAACCTCCCTGAGCTCAGTGTTTAGCTCATGCTCAGTGCTAAGAAAGTGGTTTACAGAGTCAGGTCCCAAATTTCTGTGAACTGGTGCAGCATCAGCTAAGGATGGAAAAGCAGATTTACTCCCTGCAAATACCTGATCTGCCTGACACATCAAAGCCAGTTAACCTAGTGCAGATTTTCCAGTTGGGTAGATGAGTGGTTGCAAATTAAACTACAACAAGTAGTAGCAAGGCAAACAAGTGACTCAAATTACCCAGGTTTGGGAAAGCTTATAAAAGGAAACATGTAAATAACATCTATAGCTGATAGGTCAGAACTCAGTGGCATACACATCTTTTCCCTTGTTGCTGCTGGTGGGCACCTGGCACCACCTAATGCACAAATTTAAATAAAGACTGCAAAATAAACTCTCAAAGCTAACAAGAAGAGACCACAAAAGCAAGCATGCTTAGCTCACTTTTGGACTGGAGTTTGCCACTGGATGACCAATGGACTAGCAAGGTTTCATGTAAGATGGCAGTGGATTACTTGTCTGTCACTGGAACAAGTGCACAGAGAGCCTTTGCCTTTAGAGCAGATAAGGTGCAAACTCAGGACAAGCCTTTGGCATGTCAGTTCCAGCTCTGCCAGTTGCAAGAAGATATTAAAAATATACACAAGACTTCACAGTCCATCACATTCACTTCATGTGGCACAGCCCAGATACTGAACCATCTGCTCTCTGGGTGCTCAGAAAGAAAACACTTGAAAACAACTTCCAGGGCAATAGTCTCAGTTTTCCATCTGTTGTTCTCCAAAGGCAGCTAAATTCCTGCAACTATCTGTTAGCACAAAAAGAAGTTAAATAGGTTACATTCAATAGAAAACTTCTTCCCAGGAAATGGGATACAGGAAATAGCAAAATTCCGTAGCCAACAAAATACTGTACAGTTCTCCCTGCTCCCACCTGCAGCCCTGAGTTTTTAAGGGACACCAGCAAAATCTGCATTCTGTCTTTTAAACTAAACAATGTAATGAGACAACTAGAAATATTAGAGAACTCAGCATGCCCCCAGGAGGACGGATTGACGTTCAGTTAGGCAAACAACGATGAGTCTGGAAAAGGGAGAAAGCAGCCTTGAACTGTGTTTCCAAGTGCAGAAGGATACAGGGCAGCAAACTGCCAAGCAGGATTCACACTTAGAGTTCAAATGCAGGGAACTTGGCCTTGGTAGGCACCAGCAGGTCAGCAAGAAAGTAAATTGTTCCAGCCATTCCTGAGGACGAAAAGAACACACGGTGCTTCAGAGAAATTCCCTTTGGGCATCGTTTTTCTCAGTTATCCAGGGAGGGAATGAGTTATGAAGACAGAAGAAAAGGTCCTAAATATTTTTCAAGGTCTGAGCCCAGGTTTCTTGAGCAACTTTGGTACCTCAGTGGGGAAAAGCACTTTGAAGTTAATCAAATGTTGAAAAGCACCTGGCAAAATGCCATGGGTCTTCTCCCAACTCCAGCTCCCTCCTTTTGGCTTTACCCATCCACAAGTTCAACACTGGGCAGCTCTGTCAAACTCTGGTCCTTAAGACATTGCTCCCAAGGTCCTGACTGATGGAACTTCTGCTGTCCCTTGGCCTGCAGCAGTTTGGGGAGATTAGGGTTAGCTGGGGGGCTGGCTCCTTCAGCAAATACCCAGATGGCAGATTTGGGGGGGAGCTGTTAGCAGGAGGCACAAAGTGCCACAGGAGCAAACAAGGCCCATTAAAGCAGCCCCTTTGCTCCTCAGCTTTAGACTCAAACTGGAACACTCACGAAGGATTTCAATCCTTAAAAATGTACACAAAAGAGACTGTCTGAGAAGCCAGGCTACAAATAACCAAAAGGAAGTTGTAGCCATGAAAGAATTCCCCTTGAGATCTGTATGCAAAATCTGTGTGGGAGGCCTAAGAGGACAAGATGCTTCAACTAAGACATAAGCCTGTGCTACAAGGAGACTCCTTCTGGGAAAGGACAGAAAAACCCAGTGGGTACAAGCTCCTTTCCATCCCCTACACTGAGTTTTGCAAAGACTCCAGTGGAGCTTATATTCTGTTTTCCTTGGTGCTAGAACAGCTTAGATCCAGGAGTAAAACACAAGGCTAGAGACTGACATTACCTTCAAAGAGAGAGAACGGCGTGTCTGGAGTCCGGCACCCATGCTGCCCATAGCTTAAACACCACTCTGCAAACTGAGAAAAGAGGTACAAAAACTGCTCAAATTTGGTTAAAGTATTTTCTTCTCAAGTTTCTACCTGCATGTCTGCCCCACTATAAATTGGGTTGCAAAGGCAGTCATGTAGAAGGCAGAGGTGAATAAGCCCCTCTCCTGCTTCACTCTTACCTTGCAGGCCCTGTAGAGGTATTTCATGTTCTGAGTGAGGTTGTACAGTGCCAGGAAGGCATAAGCATTGCCAGCTGTGCCATGGCACAGCCCGTAGCCTTTCTTCAGTAACCCATGCTGCCAGATCACTTCTGCACACTGCAGGGCATCATTCAGGTACTGCTGCTCCCCAAAGACCTGTGGAGACAAGAAACTGCTGTTCTTGCTGAGGCAATGTCCTTCAAACAAACAGCATCCCCGTGGGATACAGAGGCTTGGGTGTCCTGCTGAAGTGTGTCTGCTGTTTACTTTTTAAAGGATATTTTTGATATCATGAGTGGAGATGTAAGACCATTACTTCACACACAACTAGTTGTCTCCATGCATCACCTGCAAGAGGGCAACCCACATAACTGATGGATATTTTCAGAAATATTTGTTTAAGAGACTAATTTCTGTATCAGTCAGTGGCTCCTGTGGGGTGATTTCACTGTAACAAGCCATGCTACTTCCAAGCAAGGGGGGGGTCTCCCAACATCTCCGGAGGAAGTTTCACATTTAGGGGTCTCTACAGGGTCTTTGCAAGGTGTCTGGTACCTTGTATGCCTGGAGAAGCATGTAGATGACACCTGGTGCTCCATGGCACCAGTGGACGAGGAGGTCTCTGGTGTCACCGATGCACGGAGGGTAATTCCCAGACGGGAACTTGAGCTGGCAGACATAGTCCACGCTGGGCTTCACTGTGTTGTGCAGCTTTACTTGACTCACTCCAAAGCCAGGCTAAGAGAGAGAAAACATTCAAATCAGGGGGAATTCAAAGCAAAGGGGTTCTGCATCTTCCAGCCTCTCGCCTTGCTCTCCCTGCTGCAGCTGCAGACATTGTAGATGTCAGTTTCTTTATCAAAGTCCCACCTCTTTCACAGTTGGAAGCAGGCTCTGCTTTGGATACAAAGTCATTTCCCGCTTTCCTACTATAAGCAGAGATTCTTTCACCACGCTTTTCTCTCCTAGATTCTCACTCTGCTCCAAGTAACCACCTCAGAAAATGCAGGGAGCCAGCAGATACCAACAAATGTGAATAATTTAGAAGCAATTAGCATGAGGGGGAAACTCAGACCCAGCTGAGCTACAGGCCTTCATTATGTGACACTGCTGGTGAATGCAGGTCACATTTTTCCAGATCTCCAAGGTCAGAGATTCCGTCTTAGATTTGAAGAAAACCTTTAGAATTGGAAATGCATGATAAATACATGAGTAAGTCCATCAGACAAGGTATCTTTCCCAGTCTGACATTCCCAAGAGCTAATTCAAATGCTGTTCCGTGTTCAAAGAAATGTGAAACAGCTGCTAAGGACCCCTCCCCTCATGGCTCTTACCTGCATGAGATAGTAGTAGATCCCAGCCAAACCATGAGCTGCTCCTACATAGTATTCCTGGTACCACTCAAACATCAGTGGGCTCTTAGCTGTGAAATTCCTCTTTTTGGCTAAGCTCTCTCCTGAGGCTACAACTTCTTCGCAGACCTGTGAAGGGATGGGAACAAATGTGGATGAGGGAAATACTGCTGACTTGGACACAGCCCAGTGAGTATTCTGACACAGAACAACATTTGTTTTTCTGCCCAAGCAGAGGGTGGAATGAAATGTATGCCAGTCTAGTACTGCCTATGGATTTACATGGACAGTGGTGCTCTGTCCCTTTGGAAGAAAAGCAGGTATACCATGATGTGGTTTCTCCCTTATTGCCAGAGTTTCTTACATACGGCATTGATTTTTACCTGCCCAAAGATGAGTTACATGGGAAGAGATAGATAACAAATCAGCAAAAGGCACAGTACCTGCTGAATGTGACTGTGAGGGATCTTTTCCTCTCCAAAGTGCTTATTCACAAATATCAGTGCAGACAGATAGCCCATGCGCCCGTAGAGGAGTTCATCTGGCACTCGTGGGTCAGCCTTGTGGAGGTGCAACAAACTGCAATGAAAAATTCCCATGGGGGAGATGAGAGGGAAATGCACTCAAACATTCCACTCAAAGCCATGTAAACAAGAACTAAGACTGGAGCTCAAAACCATGGCTCATTCCTTCGTGCTGCTGTGCCCTAGGAGTTGTCAGGCCAGGCTCTGGTTCTCAGCCTTCCAGCTGCACAAGGTGGGAAGGTGGAATCACCCCTTCCTATCTGTCTTTGTTTGGCTGATTGCTTCAGTCTGCTTCACAATGCACTCATACTACATGCTTGGGTTTTAGAGCACCAGCTTGGGAAGCTACATGAGGGGGAAACCTGGGCTAAAAGGAATGGTCAGCATAAAGCTGCTGACTGCTCAGGAAAGGCTGCCATTATCTCCTTGTGGTGTTATTGACAAGGTGGATGCTCTGCCAAAAAACATCACTTTCAAATTACAGGGCTATCCTTTTAATTTGGCTACCTAAGGAATATTTGAAAGTCAAACTAGTGCTAATGGTATGTGAAAAAAAATCTCACCCCTAATGCTCTAAAGGCCCGATAGAGAAGCTCCTTTCTCTCCATGCCTACAAATAGCCTGGGCTATGCTGTCAGGTGAGAAAGAGGTGTCTCCCTGAGCTAAAAATCTAAGTTAAGAGGTGGAGCTACACATGCTGTGGCACAAGCAAGAAAAATCCCATAGGGAAAACTGAGAAGCAGTGAGAACAGCTTAGCAAAGTGGGAGTGCTGTGGCTGTCTGAGGACAGCTTGCCTGGCACCAGGCTTTAGCCCACAAGTGCAGAGTGAGGTCTGCAGTCAAGTATTTGCTTTGCCACTTCTCCATTCTCTATTTTTCTCAAGCTACATCAGGGAAGGTATAGGTTGGATATTAGGAAAAAAAAATTCACTGAAAGAATAATAAAGTACTGGAACTGTCTTCCCAGGAGGTGGTAGAATCACCATCTCTGGATGTGTTTAAAAAAAAGACTGGACATGGCACTCGGTGCTATAGTTTAGTTGAGGTGTTAGGGCATAGGTTGGACTTGATGATCTTAGAGGTCTCTTCCAACCTCATTATTCTGTGATTCTGTGATGCTATTATGATATTGCAAAGCTGGTGATATTCCTGTAGTGCTAACAGAGACTGACAGCACTTCACACTGGTGCTTTGCAGCCCAATCCACTCTTGATGCAATTTTTCCTTTGTTTTACCTCTCATCACACTTCCAGAAAGACTGGATGTCCTTCCCTGTCAGGGCAGCAGGTAGCAGTGTGATTGGATTTGACTTTATTTTTCTGTTC